TACATGAAGAAGAACAGGGGAAAAGCAATTTGTTCTGGGGCTTAAAAGTACAATAATTTTTCTGTCCTGGCCCGAGTACGTGTCTGGTGGCAAGGTAAATGTGACTTCCAGTAGCTTTGGGAGAACATTAGGAATTAAGACCTTTGTGGGCATATTTTAAATAAAAGTTCTCTTGGTTTTCCTGCACTCAATCTGCTGTTGGGGAGCAAAGGAGAACAGGCACAGCAGGAAGCCAAGGCAGACCAAGGGGGTGAAACATGATGTCTCCTCAGCTGCTCTTGAACCACACAACCCTAGAGCTTCACCTCTGGGAAATGACAGTGTGAGAAATAAATAAATAAATGCAATTACTACCATTAAGGCATGAAAATTAAAAGTCGTTTGCCCGAATCCAAAACAAGCACCTGAGAAAGGAGGAAAGACTTGCAGGGGAAGGGATGCAGACCTTGCCTGAGAAAGCAGGGCCCAACAACCCCTCCCAGTGCTGCTCACAGAAAAGTTCAGGCTGCAAGGGACCACAGGAGGTCATCTAGTCCACCCTCCCTGCTCAGGCAGGGTCCCCTATAGAACATTATTCAGGATTTTTGTCTAGACAGCTCCAGCAAAATCATTCCACACCAACAGCAAAATACAACCCGTGACCAATTCCATGAGAAATTTTCTTAAGATGCTTTAACTAAACAGCCTCTGGTGGTAAGTTATCAAAAGCCAGTTCAGTCTGTGCAGTGGAGTGACAAAATGACCCAGTTTGTCAGTGCAGATCACAGGAGCAGTGTCAGTCCTGCTGTTAAACCCCACCACTCCCACAGCCAGGCCCTCGGATGCTGCGCTTGGACCTGTGGGTTCCTTGGCCTCCAACCTTGGATTTTTGTGGGCTACAGAAGATTGTATGAAAATTAAGGCAGATTAATTATTTTTAAATGAATTGTTTTAAACTAACTGTGTTAAATTACTTTAAAAATCCTTCCTGATCTATAGTTCAAAGGGAATTCCAGCTCCATTGCAGGACATTCCTCCAGCAGTTTGGAGCATGGGAGCAGCTGTGACAGAGGCTTATTTCGACTTCAGCTGGCAGGAGTCTGCTCCAGGATTTGTCTCTAATCACAAACTGCCTGATTCTCCCTCCTGCCCCCAAGAAATGGGAAGAAACAAGCCAGTGACTCCTGATTTCCACCATCATGAGGATGAACCACTCACACTTATTCACAACTGCTGCTCTCTGTGGGAGCCACACCAAAATGATAAAGAAATGGAAAGGTTTCTGTGATAAAATCATCTGAAAAGAAAGGTTGTAACAAATGTATCTAATGTTGTGGCACTGGATGTAATTGAATTATTGTGAGAGGATTAACAAAATCCTGCAAGAACAATCTGACTGCCATGACTTCCCCTCCTGCTCCTGCCACTGAATAATATATCACAAATGGGAAATGCATTATTGGGGGCTTGGATTTAGGAGTTCAGGGGTTTAAAGGAAAATCCTAGTTTTTCTGGCCTGGTTTGGAATGCCAGCCCTCCTCGGGCACCGGGGCAGTAACACCTTCATCTTGATCTCATGGGCTTAAGTCCAGCATCACTTCCAGAGAACCTGGGCCATGAGATCCCAGCCCTCCAAAATCGACTTTCTTCTATTGTGAGTCAGGATAAAGAGATTGGAGGTTAAACATATGTGGAAATATGAATATAGAAAAAACAATTGAGAGTGAAAAACATTCTGAACTCACCCCAGATCTTTCTGATGAACAAGCTGACATGACCTAAAGACACACCACAGTTTTGCAATGACCAGAAGACACCACTTCCACCCTGAGCTCTTGGTGCTTGCTGGCTCCTGGAATGACTCCCTACGAGCTGCAACTGGCTCAGGCTTCCAGGTTATGTGTGTAGTGATTAATGAAAGGGGAAAGCAACTCCTGCTGAGGAGTGTGTTGGGGCAAGGAGGTCCTAAACACTGCTTGTGTCCTACTGGCTCTCTGAAGCTGCAGCCTGAGCAGCTTTAAGGTGACCATTCCTCCCAAAAAGGCATCCCCTGTTCCTGAGTGAGGCTTTCCCACGGGTGGCTGTATTTCTGTCCTGCTCCACCTGCTTCTGATCTCCCAGTGGCCCTACAAGGCTGATCTGTAAAAGTGGCACTAACAGGACTGATGACTTTCCCAGAGTGCAGCAGCTGTTTGGTGCTGAAATGTGAAGGGAAGATCAAGGATACAAACTGATCTCTGTGCCCTTCCCCGTACACAAATAGTCTTTGTTTCCAACCAGCATTTGCAATAAATAGATCTATATCTGTGCTATAGCTGTTCCTATATAAAATTTACCTTCTGGACTCAGGCTACTAACATCATTTTGGTTCAGCCAGGCCTCCAAGGCAGGATTTCCATTATTATGGAGATGAACTGCCTTTAATGACTGCAATAATATAATTGTACCCCAGGGCAGAATTTCTAATAACACAATTGCACAGTTCTCAACCACCAGCAAGAGATGCCTTCAGGCCATGTTATTCATTAGAGGTGCAGAACACACCACCTCAGCCTCCAGAGAAGAATATGAAACCTAAACCAATAAAGTTCTTTTTTTTTTAACCATGATAGTCTCCGCTCTCCAGGCAAACATTGAACACCACACTTCATTTTGCCTCCTGGGCAGCAGTGGCCTCCAGAGCAAGAATCCCAGCAGCAAAAACCATGCACAGCGTCTCCAGCAAGGAGTTTAATGTTACACAACAGCTGAAAAGTCACAAAAAGCCCCAGGAGAAACTGTGGAGCGATTGCCATGGCAGCCGTGAGGCTGAACATCAGAATTCACAGCAAGGACTGACACAGTAACATTGCTTTTAACTCCCCCTGGAATTGGAAGGATCATCTATATTGATTAACCTTCACGTGGTCAACCTTCAGCCTGGAGAAGTATCCAGGTGTTCAGGTGCCTCTCTGGAACTCGAAGGATTCTTTAATGTCAGTTTAAGCACAGATTTCATTTAAGTTTCTTCTCCCACACCTGCCTGAAAGTTCTGTTTCCTGTCCTAGACAAAGAGATTTCAGCAGCAGCTTTTCCTGGCATCTTTCTTCCTAGATTTCAACGGAGTTTTTCCACAGCCAAGAAAATTCTTGTTCAAAGTCCATGCACAGCATGGGTATAAGGAGATACTGGGGCAGGACTCCAGCCAAGGGACAGCAGGAAGGAGACAACATTTCAGAAAATAAAGAAGTCAGGAATACAGCAGCAGGAAGCAGAGCACAGGCACTTGGCCCCTCGTGCCCGTGCAGCCAGACCGTGCTGAGGATCAACACCACAGTCACATCAGACAACCTAATCTCCTAATTGTGCACTTCACACAGTCCCCAGGTACAGCCTGCAGGGGTGGTGTGGTTGATAAAGGTGGTGGCAAGGATTCAAGGCCCTGGTGCCCACGGGAGACACAACCACCGGCGTGTGAGAGCCGAGCAGGTCCAGCTGCCAAGGTGACGGAGCGCTGCTCATCCAGGCACTTTGCCAGAGAGTCCCCACTGGATGATCTGGCTGGCACAAAAACCCCCTGGGCTGAAGCAGCTGAAGATTTCACACCTGCTTGGGCACATTTCACGTCTGGTTTCCCATCCAGGGCTGGGTGCCCAGGTGGGAGGCTCCTGGTTCTGGCGTGGCAGGAGCGGGCACCGAGTGCCGGCCTCTCAGTCTGGCTGTGTTCACATCTGAGCTGACACTGCACTGCTCTGAGGAGGTGGGGCCCCACAACCCACCTCCCAGCCCTGCCTGGGCAGTCCCACTCCTAAATTCACACGAGGAGCAAGACCTGTGCCATGCTGAGGAGAACAGCCTCAGAGAACACAGCTCCTTCTGCTCCAGAACACACCAGTGAGGACGGGGGGACAGATGGGACCTCGTGGGGCTGATCCAACACTCCACCACTGAACACCTCCCATTCTTTGCACCATCTTCACCAGAAAAGCAGGTTATTTCAGTTTTAAAAATCAATATGCCTTGCTCTGTGATAGCTTTGACCTCACACAGCTTCGTGCCCTGCCTGAGGGAGCTTTGTGTCATCCATCACCCAACGCTTCTCATCCCCAGGGGTAAAGCTGAACAATCCACACACAACAGCTTTGTAAAGAGCAGGGGAACAAACTAAATAAGTCAGAAATAGGGTGTTCAATATTCCAATAATCTGTCTCAAAATGAACTGTGGCTTTTTGCACATTCATACACATCACCATAGTATATATTTCAATGTACAGGTTGGTTGAGTGGAGCAAGACTAGACTTTCCAAGATAAAAGAGGAGCCCTAACAGGTTTAAGCTTTTCAATATAACAATTTCCTGTAATTTCTGGCTTTTTGACCTTTAGGCCAGGATTTTCCCCACCGGTCCTACTGGCACATCCTATTTTGGAGGAGTGCCAAGGACAGCTCTCTGTGTCCTGCTCTCAGGCAGGACAAGTGGAACAGGTAACACAACCTCACCTCCACACCAACAACAAATCACTGCAACACCACCTGAGGACTGCAAAGGTTGGCTCCAACTTTCTACCAACGCTCTCCTTTTGAATTTTAAAGAAAGAAAGAAAAAATTTACTTGGCCAGTCTGCAAAAGCCATCTCCAAGTCAGGTTTTAGGACTGCCAAATTAATTACTGACCCCAAATAATTCCTATTTTCAGGGCAGTGAGTAATGGACCAGAGCTGTGTAATGTGCAGTGGAGACCTTCATCTCCTGAGGTGTTTTTTTTTTTAAACAATGGTTATTTAGAGCAATGCAGAGGCAAAATATTTGGGTTTTTTGGAGTGCATCTTTATCAGCTTCTTGACAGGGATGCTTTAGTAGCACACAGAGACAGGGTGGGCACAATGGGAATAGGAATCTCACCAGCTCCTTGCGACTGAACAGTTTCCACACATATTTGCAAGTCAATTTTGTGAAGCTATTAATGACAAATTCAGCTTTCCTCGCCGAAAGTCCCTGGGTTGGAGCAAGTTAATGAAAGAAATGGTTACTTTAAGACATTACCTCTCATTTTCTCTCAGGATGTCTTTTCCTTTCTTCCAAGAATAAGTAGGTCTGGGGGAAGCTTTGGGCTTACACTCAATGATGACTTCACCACCCACTTTCACGAGAGTTAACTTTTTCAGGAGTGTTTTGGAGAAGTCTGGGCCGATGGCTGAAAGAAAAAAAAACAACACAAACCACATCAGAATTCCCTCTGGAAAAACCAAATTCAGACTCTTTGGAACATTACAATATTCCAGGGCTGTTTCTCACTTAGAATTCCTAAATGATTGGACTTTGTGAACCACGTGCAACTGGGGCAAACACACCTGAGAGCTTCAGGTCTTGGTTAAAAATATATGTTTAGCTAAAAAGCTGAGAAACCAGTAACCCCATCATGCACATTTTACTAAAGGGAGCACCCCTAAGAACCACTCTTGCATGGGGTATATGGAGCATGTCCTTTTTTGTGTCCTGATCATCCTTTTGTCCAGCAACAGCACGCAGGAAAATTGCCACAAACACAGAACCCACACAATTAATCAGAAATGTTAATATTTCCAGAAGAGTTGGCATTTTTATGCTTTCAATTCATAATTGTTGCATAAACTGGGTTATTTATTTTAATTTTGTAAAGGTGGGAGACCTTGGCACAGCCAGGTCCTGAACCAAGCAAAACAAGGCAAGACTTGTTGGCATCAGGGCACAAGGTATTCTCAAATCATGTCTTTTACTCCCTACAGGGCACACTTTTGTTTGGTGAAAAACAGTCAGGTACCCATTGAACCAACCCCCAAAGCCCTGCAGGCAATCTGCAGTCTGGCTGGGAGGCAGGACAGGGAGCAAGGAGGTGCCTTGGCTTCTGATCCTGCCTCAAAGGTTTTTTAATGATATATTTGATGGGACCCAATGACAGGCAGAGCTCTGAGGCAGCTGCCTCCAGACTGACTCAGGCACTGAAATCCCCAAAGATGACCAGAAGGTTTTATTTATATCAAGGAGGACAATTAATTTTTTCAATACAGAAAGCTCAAAGCAAACAGGTGAGGTGGCTTAAGGGGTTTTATGAGCAACTCTTGCCCTGCTCGCTGTGTTTTGCTGTCAGGAGCTTGGCTTTGTGATGGATCAGTGGCAGCAATCCCTGCCCAGTCCCCTCTAGCTCTCTCCATTCTCTCTGACAGCTCCATGCCTGCAGCCTGTGCCTCCTGCTCCATCCCTGGATCCCTCACATTCTCCTTGACTTGCTCTTTTGCTGCACCCTGTGAGATGAGAGTTCAGATCTCTGTGCTTTGCACCTTCTCGACGCTCCAAGACAAGATCTAAAGTTCACCTGCAGCAGCTGGGAGACAAAACCCAGCAAATTCACTGTTCTCAGGGCATCTCATCTGCCTCAATCCTTTTGGATATTGTTCCTGATGCAAAGGAGTTGAATAAAGCCTAATCCTACGCTGATAATGGGATGGGTTTTATGATCCAACAGTGCTCGTCACCCGCTTTTATGACTCCGAGTTCACTCATCTCTGAGCTGCCTTGTCTTCCATGTCAAATCACAGACTGTTGACTTCACTTGGCACAGAGGAAGACAGGTGTGGTATTAAAGACTACAGAAGAGCCACCTGAAACCAGCAGTGGGTTGGTAAAACACTTCAGAATTAAAGGAGGCATCCTGAGGACAACGTCCCGCCGATGCGCTCGGAACCAGACAGATTGTTAATTATATCATGTCTCATTATTAACACATTATCACTTCTGGAACTAATTTCTCAGATGATTCTTCCAAATTTACGAGCAAAACAGATTTTTGAACAATCCTGTTGTTTCCATCTCTGTGATGAACAGTTTAGACTGGGTTTCTTTGTGAGTCATTTGCTATTTATTTCTCGGTCCTGTGTGAGACAGAGGAGTTGCTCAATGTGGGGTTTATTTTGTGACGTTCAAAACGTCGTCATCTGACATTTAGGAACTCTGGGCTCACTTCTCAACACTACCACAGCTTCCCTCTGCCACTCAAATGCTTTTAATTTCTTCACACTTTGTTTTGGAATTGAGGATTTTAATGATTTCTTTTTTCTACCGCAGGCCCACCCTGTTGATTTATTATTTTTAAAGATTTAGCCTGAAAATTCTGAAAGACACTGACTGCACCTTGCTATATGTACTTCACAATGCCCAGCACAGCAGGATTCTGCTTTTATTTAAGGTCTGCAGGCAATATAATTGGCAACAATAAATGAGAAGAATCACTCTGAGAAAAGCTCTGTAATTTTCCATTTCTCTTTTTTCACTTAATTTTGCTGTAAGTCTCGCTTGCTATTAGTGGCATTTCATCATCTCAAGTGCTTAACTTTAGGACCTTTTAAAATAACCATCTGAACACTCAGATCTGTCTAAAAGCTAAAATTTCTCAGGGAGGGCTCAGAATGTTGCCCTCCTTTGAAAGCTCTAGAGAAAAGGCAAACATGCTGCTTGTCTTTATAAAACTTGCCAAGTTAAACCACACATCCACAGAAATTTATCTGCAGCACAACTTTTGGGTGCTTTTTGTGTGACATACAGAAGCAAGAGTGCATAACCTCAATGAGAAGTTGGCCAGGTAAAAGTTCTCTGACAGGTTTCTAAGCTCAAGGTCTTCAAGATCTTTGCTTTTCACACGGACACGAGGTACAACAAGGGCTAAACCTCTCCTGAGAACATCTCCCTCCCTCCCAAACCTCCTTTTTACCAGCTTTTAAATAGACAGGAAAAGCATCAGTGGGTTTATTTCGATTTCTTTCATGCACTAACACGTCCAATAAATCTCAGCATTGTGATGTCTAATTTATTGAGCATTATTGTCCTTTTCTCCAACAGCAACACAGCCAATCCTTCAAATGAATTTTTTTCTACTCAGGCATCTATCACTGATGATAAAAAATGACCAATAATTGAAAATGCCACACTGGGAAAAAAACCCCCGTGCTTTGTACTTCAGGATAAAACAGGGACTGCTGCTATCGAACATGTGGTTTGAAAACAACACTATTTTGTCATCAGGAATCTATTTAACCCTTTGGAACTACATCTCTGTGCTGACACAGCATTTTCCAGGCCTGCCACCCATACATGAACAACATTTGTGAAGGAGTTGCAGGCTGGCAGGACACCCAGGGCTGGCAGGGAGCTCTGGGATGGTCCCATCCCACCCCTGCTCCACCAGCAGCAGCTACAGCAGGTTGCCCAGGGCCATGACCAGTTGGATGTTGAGTATGTCCAAGGACAGAGATGCCACAATGTCTCTGGACAACCTCTTCTAGTGTTTAACCAATCTCATACTGAAGGTTTTCCTGTGTTTAAGTGGCGTTTCCTGTGTTTCAGATTGTGGCATTGGGTCTTCTCTTGGCACTGGGCACCCCTGAGAAGATCCTGGCTCTGGAATCTCTACTCCCTCCCAGCAGGAATTTCACTACTTGGACTCACGCGAGCTTCTCCTGATGTTAAGTGGGAGGAACAGAGCAGGGGTGCACAAAACAGGTGGGGCAGAAGCTCTTTCCTTGGAGAAGGTTTGGGAGGAGAGCATTTTGGCTGCCATTGGAATGGTGAAAGGTCTATTCAGACAGGAGGTTTGTGAACATCTACTCAAGCAGAGTCACCTCTGCAGCCCACTCTGAACACTTTGGTTTCTCCATAAACATTTCTAACCAGCAAGAGGCTGAATGCACTTGCCAGCTCCCCATGCTCTGACACCTGGAGGAATATGAGAGCATGGGATGATGTAAAAAAACCTGTTCTCTATCTACCCACTGTCCCAAGTTTTCACTTCATGCCCTCCTCAAACACAACAACTTGCCAAAGATCCCCAGCAGCACTTCTGCTTCAGATGCTGAAACTTGGCAAAACCTGCCTGGGCGAAGATCTTTCTGGTTTTGGGAGGTTTGCAGGGCTCAGGGAAGCAAACTTACCTATGACACTGAGCTCTGCACTGGTGAAAATGGTGCCATGTCTGTTCTCTGCCACACACTGATACATCCCAGCATCCGACAGGCTGACGTTGGTGATGGTGAGGGAGCCCTGCTCCAGCTGAACTCTGCCCTGTGGGGAACAGGACAGCAAACTGAAGAGTAAACAAGGAGATCCTTACTTGGAACATAAAGCCAGAGGTTGCTGTGCTAGATTTTATACCAAGGTGGGCAAAAATATGTAGCAGTAACAGGGAGAATTTGCATGTTCCAATCTATTTGTCTGCCAGCCAAATTTATGTCAGGTTAGAGACTAAATGGTAAAACCAATATAGTAGTTGGTAAATGCAATTTAAATTGGAGGACTTTCCCTTGACCTCTCATTGATTTAATACCCAAACCATTTAGATTAATATCCCTTTCAAGTAGATAAGCTTGAAGCAAAAAATGCATTTTGTTCCACAGTGGCCTATCAGAGCCAGACCCAGTGCTCAAAAACATTTAAAACAATGGTATTTTCACAGAAGCACAGAATCATTGAGGTTGGAAAAAAGACCTCCAAGATCACTGAGCCCAACCTTTGACCAAACACCACCTTGTCCCCCAGCCCAGAGCACTGAGTGCCACGGCCAGGCCTTCCTTGGACACCTCCAGGGGTGGGGACTCCAAACCTCCCTGGGCAGCCCCTTCCAGTGCCTGACCACCCTTTCCAGCAAGAAATTCCTCCTGATGTCCAACCTGACCCTCCCCTGGCACAGCCTTAGGCCATTTTGAGCATATATAGCAAGGAAGGCTGGTAAGACTGGTTGCCATCTTAGCCAGCACAGAGAGAAATACTTAAAATCCTCTGAAATTTACTGAAAACAATGGAGATGTTAATAATGTAATGATCCTTTAGTTCATATCAGCCACTAACATGATTAAAGTACAAGAGCATCTGCCAGTGACCAGCATGAAGCAAGTAAAATTAAGTGTGTGGCAAAAAAGACCAGGCTACCATTTGTCAGCCTAAGGATATGGAGCTCATGTTATCAATTCTGATAAGTACAGCAAAGTGTTCCCTCCCTCCCTGGGAGTTCTGACATTTAAAAAAAAAAAAAATTAAAATAAAGAGCTATTGGTTTTCTGTGTGGCCACAGGGCAGAAATTTAATGTTTGTGCAATGTGTGTTGGGGTTTGATCAAATCTGGGCTGCCATGTTCTTTCATGGTAAGTGAAGGGGAAAAAGTGTGAACTGCTGTGAAACCAAAGCTGTGGTGACTTGGTTTAGTTTGTGGTTACAGTGGGGGATCACGGAGTGAGGCTGGGCAGGGGGTGTATCTCCACAGCTCCTACCCAGGGACACAGCTCAGCAGGAGGAGTGGGAACACCACTGGAAACCAGCAGCAACACCAAAGTTTCATCATCACGTGAAGTTCACCTGAACATCATAAATTAAAAACACCAATCCAGGGTGACCATTTTCTGGTAAGAGGGCCCACAGTGCCATTCAGCCATTCCTCCTTCTTCACAGGGGTTTCTCCACCCTTAGGTTTGTACCTTGGATTCTTCATTCTGGGGAGGAGCTCTGCTGCTGTGTGTCCCACTCAGCACTGACAGCAGCTCACCAGGGTGGGGATTTACTGGGAGGATGGTGAGGCCCTGGCACAGGGTGCCCAGAGAAGCTGTGGCTGCCCCACCCCTGGAAGTGTCCAAGGCCAGGTTGGACGGGGCTTGGAGCAACCTGGGCTAGTGGAAGGTGTCCCTGCCCATGGCAGGGGTGGCACTGGATGATCTTGAGGGTCCCTTCCAACCCAACCCACTCTGTGATTGTAAAGCACCCCCATCCTCTCCATCCCAAAACGAATAAACACCCCAGAGATCAAAGAGCTGGCAGAGCACCAAAGAACCTGCCGAGCTGTGACCCTGTGAGCCCAGGGCAGGGCTCTGGTGGTGCCCACCTGGGCCAGCAGAGGCTCCCCATCCTTCAGCCAGCGGTACGAGGGCTTGGGTCTCCCTCCGGCCCGGCATTCCCAGGACACACGTTCCTCTATGGCCGCGTGGACATCACTGATCTCCTGGATCCAGCTGGGCTGAGCTGCAAAGCAGAAGCATAAAACCTTGTGTTTGGAACCAACACTGTGCCCTGTGGGTGCAAATGGCCGTTTCTTTCTTCACCTGCACGTTTAAATGTCGGATTTAATAATGTGATTAATAATTGCTGCAGAGTGTTTTTCTTCCCCGAGTCCAATTCTACTTTCAAGATCAGAACCCGTTTTTATTTTATTTTTAGTAAAAACTCTTAATGAAAAAAGAAAATCCTGATCATTATACAAAACCAAAGCCAACAGCTCATCTGCTGCCCCAGTGGAATAAATGACACTTGTGCACCCCTGGTCCTTCAAATAAAAACATTTTCCTCTTCAGGAACTGTATGAATTGGGCTTCAAAGCTCTAAAATTTAGCATCCAGCTTCAAAACTTGTAATTTAGAACTATCTCTGCAGTGAAATTAAGGTTATTCCAGTAACTCAGGCCTATGTGGTTACAAGCACTACGTCAGGTCCAAGCTCTGAGTCTTGTCTCAGATTAGGGCCATATCCACATGGAACATCTTCCACGTGTATGAGAAATCTTTGGACCCAATAGCTGAATTAATGACATTAAAAAAACCTAGAGAGTCCAAAAGCAGGTATTGGAGGCACATTTTGGTAAAATGTGGTGAAAGCTGCCACTTGCAGTTTTCAGACACTGCTGAGATTATATTTTTAATCGAGTTTTACATATTTTTATCACTGTTATTGTTGGCTTTTTTTTTAATAGAGTCTAAGTTTAGCCAGACTCCTCATGTAAATCAAAGTCCACTAAAATTGCCACATGTTTTTAGAGACCATAAAAAACCCTCAGAGTTTCTCATGTTACCTTCATAAGCCCCATTTGTCTAGACAGACCTACAGCAGTTTTCACAAAGTCCCATTAAAAGACAGACTGAGTTCAGATTTCTTTAATGGCCACTTGTCCTGCTTTGACACCAGAAAACCTGACTTAGCAGGAAGGTATTACCAGCAGAGGTCCCCAAGAACCTGATTAATACTTTTCCCCATGTAATCAGATAAAAGGAAAAATTAAGATTACTCAAAGAAAGGTAACAACTCTGGATAGGGACCGGGGCCAGAGATGGGTCTGCAAGGATAAATGAAAAAATATCACATCCAAGTGGTAATTTGGTGTGATTATACCCCAAACACTGGTTTGTCTGTGATGATGTAATGATGGAAATTCACATTCCGAGAGCTGAGTGTCTTTGAGAACAGTGCTGAGGCTGGAACAGATGTGTTTAATCCAACACCTTTCACCTTCTCACGGAGCCTACGAAGCCCAGAAAAAGCTGGAGGGTTTTGCACAGCATCTGAACTCCAAGGCACGGGCAAGGCACAAGCAAAAGAGGTACTTAAAAGGAGAGGCGAGCACTGTTTATTTCTCTGGCTGCCCCTCCTGCCCCTGTAATATTTTAAGCTTGTTTATTGTCTGTATCTAAAGAGACATGAAAGGGGAAGCCTTTAAATGTGGGAAGATGAAAGGCAATTCTGTCGTGTGGATAAAGAACTTGAACAATTCCATCGAGCCGAGGCACGCTGAGCGACTGCAACGGGTTCAGTGGCTCAAGGACATCTGCAAATTACTCCTGAATTTACATATTTACTATTCTAACAGCATCTAACTCATAATTTTGAAGAGAATCTTATGATACTGTAAGAGGAGCTTTATAAAACCTACACAGATCCATTTGCCTCTTTTTTTTTTTTTTGGGCAGCGCTGTTTTATGGATTACCCACATGAAAACACAAGAAGTCAAGACAAAACAGCTGGAATTCACCTGTAAATCAGGGAAATTCATGGAAGGTAAGGTGTGTTCTATAACATAAGTGTAAAAAGAAAGGTAAGTCCTGTGTGAGGAGGAAAGAAAATTCAGGATTTACCCTCATTTCAGGCAGACTCCCCAAATAAGTGAAATTGTCACCCAAGGCAGCAAAAGGCATTTTTGGGGGCACTTTGCAGGTTTCTGATCCAAACTCCTGCCCTGGCAGTGCTGAGACTGAAACGTGCAGTGCTGGAAGCTGCCACCCCAAAAATTCACTTCACCCCACGAGCCACAACCTCACATCCCACGCCATCCTTCACCCCCTCCAGTTACTTTAACGGAATAGATTTTCAATCCCAAAGCCATTTTTGATGCAGACAACTAAAGAAGGAGCAGAACAGGTCACAAATTAACTCAGTGAGAAGCATCGGAGTCCTTTGTTTCGCGGGAGCCTCGTTGTTGCTGCTCTTTGGGAGACTTTTCTAATTAGGTCAACCTCTCCTTTCAACAGTTCCTTGCAGAGAGGAGCAGCCACGCTCCTGACTTAATCTTGGGGAATACTCAAGGGTTGGTTCAAGCAGCAAATATGTTTGAGCCACCAAATGAGAGTCGCCACAATATAATGGAATTTGACAGCTGCCCATTGGGGACCGCACCAAGACATGGAAATGCGGCACAAGATTTCAAGCATGATAATTAAAATAATTCAAATAAGGGGAGGAAAGCAGCTCCACACTACTACAACATCTTCTGGTACAGCAACATTATTTGAGGTAATGACAAGGTTTAATTTGTGACTGGTAGAAGCGGTCTAGAAAAAAATCCTTTGGATCATTTCAGTGGCGCCGACCAAAGATGAATTCTTTAGGGTCTGGAAATATTTTGGCCCTATTCGGAGTATTTAAGGTATTACTGGCCTTGGAAACATCCTGGAGGAAAAATCTGGAAGCTGATTAAGAATTCATCTGAGTAGCAAGAAAAATTCATATGCTAAATCTATAAAGTGAAAGAAAAAGCTTAAAGAGAAGCACGACTCTTATGTAAGGACAGCTTTGAAGGAAAATGTCCCCCTCCTAGGAGATGAGAGCTGTCTGGAATTAGTACTCAGGGGGACAGAAGAAAAATGATGGCAACAGTTAGAAAAAAAAATAATTTACCTTTGATCACCTTCCAGTCTTCACCAGTGCAAAGTGGGGCATTTTAAACCAGGTGATTATGAAAAAATGCCCAAATATAATCTTACTTCTCTAAGACAAAAAAATCCACAAGGACTCTGTCCTTCATTGTAATAAACTGAAAGGCAGAAGTAGGCACTGGAAACCTGGACCAGAAATCATGTTCCTAAAAGACATTTGAAAATGAAACAAGGTGGCCACCGATGATGCATCACATCAGAAATGAGTAACAAACCCACAGAACTATGGGAGCAACGGGAGAAAAAAACCCCAGAAATAAACCTGTAGGACTCTGCAATCATCTGTGAGTTCAAAACAACCCAAAAGACTCAAGCAAATGAGGTGCTAATACATACACAGAATCCAATTCTCGGTCGGCGTATATTGATCTCAGTGTTCCTAAGCCAATTTCGAGCAGCTGATGACCTGGTGCAGGCTGTGTAATTCATCATTAATGGCACATGAAAGGCTGAACGACTTGTCCATTACTATATCTATTCTAAGGAGATTGAGGCTGAGCCCGGGATCAGAAAAGTCTAAAGACCCAGAGAGCCAAGCATGAGAAGTAAGAAAAACAGATGGGAAAAACAGAGGAGTAATTGAAAATAAAGAGTGCAGCCAGTGTGTGAGGTTTGTGCAGACCATGCACTGCTCCAAAGGGGACTGCAGCTCCTGGACAAAAACCCCTTAAAGCCTTTGATTTGTTATCCTTCCCAACCATCACAGACCTCCAATTATCACTCTTCCTCTCTCTTCCCCTCATCCTGACCTCTACTGCTAATTAAGGATTATTTGAAACCTGTACAACTTCCAGCTGTGTGAATCCTCCACCAAACCAACCTGCTTGGACGTTGCACCTTAAGGATGTTCAGTTGTCTGTGCCTTTGGAAAGATCTCCAGATCCTGCCACTTGGGCAGGATGTCTCCTTTCTGCCTCTGGCCATAGGGAAGCAGTCTGGGAGTTCTGCTTGGGGACTAAAATATTAAATACCAGAAGAAATCCGAAGGAGTTAACTTAGCTGATAAAAAAGAATTAAATTGTCCTTACCTCTTATTTACTTCTTGTTCCATGAGCTGTTCTGCACCATCACATGACTTTCTCCCCAGTTATCCCAGGCCCCAAATGACTGTGGACAGTTCATTAAGACCAGTCCTCGGGGATTTAGTTATTTTTCATCCCTGATACTCCACACTGCAGCTACTCAGGGGTGTAAGGAAGATGTAGGATGCTCCATGAGCCTTCACACTTCATTTCTCATACCTATTCATATTTTTGCTTCTCCTGCTCCTGAGCTATTTTTCCAAGCCACAATGACAATAATTTGAGCACTTTTTCTAAATCTCCTAAAAAATTGGATTTCTCTGTAAGCAGGTTTCCATCAATGCCTTGGAAAAGGAAAAATGGAGGAGAAACACACCTGTTCTCTGTGCAGAGACTTTTTCTGGATGCAAGACTTCCCTTGGGCAGCAAATAATTCAACACTGAAGAGTTATTCCCTCCTGCACTAACAGGAACCTCTGTAACAGGTAGCAACAGGGTTTGCTAGGGAGTGATGTAAATGATAATTAATCATAAGATACACTTGCCCTATTTAAGTGAATTTTCTTGTATTTTTATCAGTCCAGAAACTCGTTTTATTTAAAGTGGCTTTGAATTTTCAGTAAATTATTTGTGATTTGGGACCTAAACTGAGCTGAGACATAAAACTGCCTGATTTTCACTTATGCAAATTTCCTTTTTAGACCTCTAACCGTAATGAAGAGCATAATATGATTTACATTGGAGGTTGTTTTATAGAGTGGCATAAAGTAGCTCTCACACAAATAAACCGTGTTCGCTGATGAAAAGGGGACTTTTTTCACTGCAAAATTAAGGAGCTGCATAAATTCCTGGTGGGACTTTGATTTGAGAAGTATTTAATGTGAAAAGCGGTCCAGCCAATTAAATGGCTTGTGCTGAACATCTTACAAAATGCTGCAAAGAACTGTAATTAGTGACAAATAAGTCTGTCTGTCCTAATGCAGATGCTGCTGCACTGGCACTTTTGGAAACCACTCTGACTGCATTTTTTTCCCTCCTTGCCTTGGCTCTCCAACGAGGAGTGGATGAGCTCAGGAGAGGAGAGAGATGCTGGAGCACCCTGGAGCTACACAGACAATGCTGAGTCAGCACCCACACCTGTGCTGGCTGAATCTGAGCCAAGCACCACTTGGATATTTTCCAGTGCTGATCTGACTGGAAAACCAGAGACAAATTGCATGGATTTGGCCAAAATTCTGGCAGACAAACACTCCTGGTGGTGGTGCAGCTCCTCAGCCTGTCCTGGAGTGCCTGTCCCCACCCCTCCCAGTGCTGTCAGTCCCAGTCCCACTGTTTATATTTGGATCACCTTGACCAGCAGCTGTTTTTCCTTTTCTTCCCATTATTCAGCCTGTGCATTTTGCTGGGAAGGGGGACATCAAGATGTTGCATTGACTCGTCAGAGTCCACACAGGGAAGCAGAGCCCAGGGGTTTAAACACCGGCACAACCATCTGGGTTCACACTTTGCATAAAAAAAATATGCTCATATTTTAAAAGAGTCCAGGAGAGCAGTGTCCTTGTGGTGGCACAGAGACTTTGGGTGCTGCTCAGCAGGGAGAACCTGGCCAAGGCACATCAGCAAACCTGCAGAATCATAAAGGTTGGAAAAGCTCTCTGACATCATCGAGTCCAACCATGAACTCAGCACTGCCAGGCCACCACTAACCCATGTCCCCAAGTGCCACATCTACACAGCTCTTAAATCCCTCTAGGGATGGGGACTCCCCCATGGCCCTGGGCACCCTGTTCCAATGCTTAACCACTTCTTCAGTGAATAAATTTTTCCTAGTATCCAACCTAAACGTCCCCTGAAGTTGTTTGCTCTCGTCCTATCACTTGTTACCTGGGAGAAAAGATGGATCCCCAGAAGGGGCAGAGGAGCAGTGAGGCTCTCATCAGTTGTAGGAAAGGCTTGGAACACAGGGATGAGCAGCCAAACCAACATCTTAGGAGCTCAGACTGCCCACTGCCTCTTTGTCCTGCACTTAGGACAATAATCTCTAGGATGCAACTGCTGGAAGATCAGACTGAAACAGCATCTAAATTTCACATGAATGAAACAAGGTCAATAATAAATAAGCATCTCCTTGCCGCTGGTTTTATGAACGAGAAGGCAATTTCTTTTTAAATTAGCTGGTTAAGGTAATCTGTTTACTGCACTTCTGCCAAGAACCAAACAACTGCTGGCATTGCTTTCTGCTCGGGGGATAAATCGGAGCCTCGCGGAGGGTTATCAAATCTAAAATTTATGAGCAGCCAGATTAAAAATAGAATCAGGTCAATGGGAGTGCTTCCCAAATGCTGTGGATCAAAACACACTGAGAGAGAGGAGAGCTGAGTGGGAAAACAGGCACTGGGAGCACAGGCAGTGGTTCAGCCCGTGCCGTGGCCGTGGTGACACCGGGTCACACCGGGCACCTCACCTGCCTCAGCCACGGGGATTTACCTGGCACAGGGTCTGCATAGAACAAGAAAAGTCAGGAAGGCAGCAGGATGTGCATTTCTGGCTGCTAAAAGATGGAGAAGAGATTTTGCAGTTTGATTTGTTAATTCAGAATCACAGAGTATCCTGAGACAGAAAAGGACCCACGAGGATCGTCAAGTCCAACTCCTGGCCTCTCACAGGACACCCCAAGAATTACACCACGTGCCTTGCTCAGGAATTCGCTTGAGGCACGTGGTATCTGGTCAGGAATAGGAGAGAGAACAAGGCACAGCAAAGAAGTAAGTGATGTGTTGTTCAGAGCCACATCAGTCAAGGAAACAGGGATAAGTGACTGTAATTGCATTAACAGGAACATGTTGCCATCGTGAAGGTCCATCCATCAAGTGGGACATGCAGCACTTGGAACAAATGCTCCTGGAGAGCAATAAAACACAGCCTGTTGCAGGGGCCCAAAGCACAGAAAATGGAGGAAGAACAGATCTCACATGTTTAATTAGCCTTTTCTGCTGCAACGAGGATGTCAAACAACTTCAGTGTCACTGATATGCTACCAGAGGAGAAAATAAACATTGATACAAGAATGAAATACAGCAAAAGTCAACCTTCCCTGACAACTTCCAGGAGCACGGGAAGAGCTGACAGTGCTGGGTTATCTACAGTGAGCAGGTAAATCTGAATTACTTTTTCTTCTATTTTTCTTGTTTTATACAATGCAAAGAGGTTGATAACTGGGTCTGAGGTGCTGTTAGAGCCAGACTGTGATCTTTGGGACACAGGTCATGACACAGCACGTCACTGAGCATGGGTGGCATTTGGGACTGCCCATGTTGCATGGAATCATGGAATGGTTTGGGCTGGAAGGGTCCTCAAAGCCCATCCAGTCCCACCCCCTGCCATGGGCAGGGACACCTTCCACTAGCCCAGGTTGTTCCACGCCCTGTCCAACCTGGCCTTGGACACTTCCAGGGATCCAGGGGCAGCCACAGCTTCTCTGGGTAACCTGTGCCAGGGCCTCATTGTAAAGGATTTCTTCCCAATATCCAACCTAAACCTGCTCTCTTGCAGCATCTCCAGAGCTTTCCCCACTCCAGGCATCAACCCCAAGCCTCCAAAAGCAACCTGAAAGCTCTGCCAACATCACAGCTGCATTTCAATAACCAAATTACATTTCTCAGATTTAAAAAGAAAAGCTTATTAAGGGAGAACAATGTTCTCTTTTTCAACTATTTCTATAAAAAGTTCACAGGAAGTTACTTTCCCCTCAGAAAATTTTGCTGCCCTGTGGAACTCCAGAGCCCAGAGTACAGAATGCAAGTTGGTTTTTTTGCTTTAGGAGATCTGTTTTCAATCTAATAGGTTGCCAAGCACCAGTTATGCTTGAAAGAGAAGTACTTAACTGGTACATCATCATCCTCAAGACAACAAGGATGATATTTTTGTCCATTATTTATCTTTAAAACCAGTAACCAACGGAGACAACCGGCTGCCACCTCCCCATTGGGAACTCCTCTGCTCCCATGGAACAGATGTAGGGACATCTCACCATCCCAGAGGGAGGAGGACACTCCTCTTCCCAAAAAATCCCGAGCCTCTTTGCTGAAATGGCATCTTGGGTGTGAAAAGCAGCACGAGCCACAGTGGCAGCTTTTGTGTGGGATCCTCAGCCCTCCAGCAACGGGATCCAGGCTGGGAAATTCATTACAGTAATGAGATTATAACTTAATATATGTATGGTGGGAGTATTCCAAAGGCTCCTTTTACTGCTTTACAAGGCAGCTTTGGCCGTGGGTTGAGCAAAATTGTGATGAGTCTTTTAATTTACTCTCCACATGGGAAAAATCAGGAGAAACACACATCGTTTGATGAACAGGAAAAGGAATCTTTAAATCATTTAATTAAAAGAATTAAACCCAGTTCAATTCAGCTCCAGATTCTCTCCTCAACATGAAAGATTTCGTTTTGTTCTTGCACTTTCACTCCTTTTCAATGTTTTCTCGTTTTACATTTTACTCAATTTTAAAAAGGAGAAATGTTCATTTGAAATGGAAGCCCCCAAAGTTCTGATTTCTAAATTAAATGTCTTTTAGAACTACTTCCAATTTGAAAACATCCCTATATACAACTTTTTTTAAAAAAAATTTACATTACCCACCAAATTCAATTCAGCTTTGCCAGGAGGGTTAGTTCCCAAACTCTTTTTTTTAGTGTGGCAAAATTACTATAAATCAAAAAAAATTCTTCTCATCTCTGGAGTTCAACCCAGTCTTCCCTGCTGAGTGGAGCTGGACCCTCAGGAGCACTTGGGAAGAAAACACTGAATTTCTGTCCATGTGTTCTGTAAAGAACAGCACCATTGTGCTCCCGAAGATCAGACAGGGCAGAGACAAAACCAGGTTATTTCTGGTGGCAGGGAGGGCTCTGCACATCTGTGGGTGTGGGTGTGTGGAACCTGCAGCTTCTCCCCTCCAAAACATCTCAAACAGAAACTTGGTCCCAAAGCAAGAGCCCACTGGGACCTCTAAACCCCCTCCCTGGGACTCTCACTCACCTCCACACAGGTAAATCCACACCTTTCATTTGCTTTGCAAGATGGGGCTGTTTCCAGCAGGAATTTGGGGATGGAGAGACACCTGCAGCAGGATCAGTGGTACCAATTCATCCTGTACTTAACACAGGGGCCTATGAAGCTGATATTTCACATTTTTAACACACTTGGCTCAAATATTCTGATTTCAGGGAGAGAAGAGCAGGTGTAAAAAGCCTTTGAGTGGAGAAGGCTCTGGTGGCTCCGACAGGGTTAAATCCCAACTCTCCAGGCTGTGCAGTCAGTGATCCCTCTTGAAAGGAGTCCTTAATTGGTTATAAGCAATTAACATTTATTCACACAAGCTGGGGTAACACGTCCATAATAAATCCCAAGCTGTAACCACGAGGATGCTCCCACAGAATACCTGCCTTCCCCTCCCAGCCAGGAGAAGGCAAAGGAGCCTTTTCCAAGTGTTTTCAGCCTGTTACCATGCCAATGTCCTCCCAGTGTTTTATGTTTTCCTTCCAACTGCTCTGACTCTCAATTAATACGCACCATTTAGACAGGTTTTATTTCAAATTACACCCTTCTTGAGATGTGCCATTTGAAAAGGAAGTCCTTTCAAAAATCCCCTCACAGAATTATGCCCTCACAAAACATTTACTGGATGCAATGACCCCCCTGAAAGCAGGCAGCCTGCTCACCATAAAATGTCAGCTGTCCTCGTGCCACGTTCTTCCCTCTCACGTTTTCAGCCACACATTCGTAGAGTCCGGCGTCTTCCTGCTGGAAATTTGGGATTTCCAGGAGTCCGCTCGACCTGTGCCTCCTGGCCTTCCTGGGGATCTGTTTCCCATCTGCTCTCCTCCAGCTGATTGTAGGAACTGGGCTAAATAAGGAAAATAAAGCAAAATAAAGCTTGCAGGAAAAGCCGCGGGGCTTGTCAGGAGAAGCTCCTGTCGACTTAACTCTGTGTCATGTTTGAGGGTGATGAAGTCATGGCCAGTGTGAAGGCTCTGGCACAGGACCTGGGACAGTTTTATTATGGGTAGGTTATATATAACATAAATACAGATATATTTACCAATAAAGAATTGCTCACAGAGCCTTAAAACCAGGAGATTTTATATTATTAAAATGCTGGTTTTGACACAGTTCTGCTGTGACAATACAGCCATTTTAGGGTGGGGAGGCCCTGGCACAGGTTGCCCAGAGAAACTGTGGCTGCCCCTGGATCCCTGGAAGTGTCCAAGGCCAGGTTGGATGGGGCTTGGAGCAACCTGGGCTAGTGGAAGGTGTCCTTGCCCATGGCAGGGGGTGGAACGAGATGATCCTTAAAATCCCTTCCAATCCAACCCTTAAAATCCCTTCCAAGCCATTCCATGATTCCATGATCATTTTCCTCACAGTCCAAACATTTTGAAAGTGTTGTCAGTGTTTACTCATGAAACCAAAAATGTGTTTGAAGTGTCACATGAGACCTCAACACAGGAGGAGATGCCCAAACACATCCTCCCAGATTAAGTTCCATCTCTCTTCCTTGAGAATTTATATTTTTGGTGAGCCGAGCTCCTGCTCCCAAAGCCCTCTGTGGGATGTGAAAACTGGCAGTAAGTAACTCCTGCTGAGGGAAGTGAATCATTAGGAATTGCTGCAAACTCCACAACACAGGGCTACGAGAGTAAGAAGCTGGAGGAATAATAATAAAAATAATGGATCAAACTTACTTCCCCAAGGCAAAGCACTCCAGTTTCACCGTTGTTCCTTTTGCAGATGGAACCGTTTCTGGGAACTGCACTTCTATTTTCGGCTCATACTCTCCCATCACCCCTGTGAACATAAAAGAGATGCTAAGGCTTGGTTGAATTTTCTGCAGTAAATTCACAAGTGTTCCCGTGCCAGCACAGAGCTGTTCTATACATCATTACTTGCCCAATTAATCCATTCATTTTAAACATGGCCTGTTCCTAACAGCCGTGGAGTGGGGGCTCTTTTCCCATTTACTGCCAGAGGAGAATCTGAACCAGCTCTCCACACCATCTGCCAAAGATTAAAATCTCTTCATGGCTCTGTTGCTTTTCACTTTTGAATATTCAGGGTTTTTGCAGGTAACTCGTGAAATAAGGAAAGCAATAACGAGGGAGGTTCAGCACCTTCCAGAAAATGAAACGTGGAACAAACAGCCATTAGGAAAAGTTTTAAAAGCACTGGAGTTAATAGAGGTTTCTATTAACTCCAAGGATTTCGATGTGCAGAGATCATCTACTCTTCGGGCAATTTCTTTATTTTTACTGCCCCAGTAAATCACGGAGCGTGGCAGCCTCTTTATGAAATTGTGTTTAAAAATTTGTGCACATAAAAAGGCCATTACACTCATGATAAATGGCTACATTTCTAGTCACTGTGCTGCCTTAAAACCAGCACATATAATTTCCCCAATAGTGATTATCAGCTAATTGATGATTGCAGTTTAAATCTCAACAGCGTGGAGCTTCCTGGCCCTTGGCCAAGGGAGGAGCAGCGCTGGGTCAGACCAGATGAATCCCACAAATACAGGATCCAGACAGCACAAGGGACACAGAGATGGGATAACAGGAGTCTGAAGAGATATTCAGGTGCTGGTGGTGGCCTGTAATTGCTGTGCTGCTCTCTGACCCCCTGATTTGCAAAGATGATGCAAAACCCCCCTTTTTTCTTTAACTTTTCACAGTTTTAAAGCTGAAAATACTCAGTATGAGGCTTACATCAAGCCTGCCTTTCCCTGCTGACCTGAATATTACCTGTTCTGATGCAACAGCAGGTGACATCACCTTCCTTCCAATGCATTAATTGCAAATAAGTGTTGCTGCTGGATTCCTATAAGGAGCGGCTGCTGCACAGCCTCACTCATCAAAACTAAATGCATTTATTAAAAATACAAATACTCCCCCCATAGTCATGTCCTGGCCAGCACATACAGAAGGAAATCCATGAGTCTATGCCGACATTCCAGCATTTCCATACCATGCAAACAGGAATTACAGGGAATGCTGTTCCTTAGCCCTCTGCACGTTGACACTGCGGTCCTGAAGGGCTGGAAGTGCCTGGCACAGTTATCATGGAAAATCCTCCCTGTTCTCCTGACTGTGACTTCCCAAAACTTTGCAATCTTGCCTAAATTTTCTCCAGACTCTGTGATAAATATTTGCTGGTGGAACTTGAGCCAAGGCAAGAGCAGCCACTGCCCAGAGGTCTCTGAGGACAAGGCTGGGTGGGAACGTTTGGGAGCAGCAGCTGATGAAGAACTTGAGATCTTTTCCCAGAAGAGTATTTCCACCTTCTGCAATGAAGACTGCAGACTGGTGAGAGGGAGAGCTTTTGAAACTTCCCATGAAAGCCTGACCAGATTCAGGCAGCTGTCCCACCTCAGAAGATGTTGGCTTTCAGCTGGAGGCTTCCCTGAAGAATCACAGAATATTCACCTGACAGAGAAGGAGGCAGGAATGGGAGGGAGGAAAAACAGCTTTTTTTTTTTCCCTTCTCTTCACTCACACTTCTTATGTTCGCATTTCTTTGCTTTGGGCTGGGACTGGAGAGCTCTAATCCCAGGGTGACATAACCCCACTCTGGGATGGGAACTACAGCTGCCTGGGGCTGCAGGACATCAGCTCCAGCCACTGCTACCCACAGCCCTGCACCTCTGGCCTCTGACAACCTCACTGCAAACTCCAACCACCTCAAAATCAGGACTTTTACCTGGAAAAATCACAAGGCTCCCTCTACAATGATAACCTACCTATATATATATATATATATATAGGGTATGATGTGAGTCTGGCTGTCCCTGCTCAAAAGGAGCAACACTGTGCACTTCAGACATCTCCATCCTGAATCCAAGACCATTTCCATGCAGACAATCCTTATTTTTCCTGCTGTTCCCAGGTGGTTTAACATCTGACTTAGCTGTGCAGGTGGCAGGGATGGAGGAGGAAATAAAGGACTAAGATAACCCGGGGTTTGGGGCTCAGTGTCACGGCACATCAGATGCTCAACGTGTTTGCATTTCAGAGGCTTTTGTATCTTCCAATTTCAAGGCTTAAAAACGTGCTTTTGGATGAAAGTCCTGGGAATTCAGAAGGAAGCTAATTTGTCTGAGGAGATGATATGCATTTCCTGACAACACCTGTGAAATGTTAGAGTTTAATTGGCCCATCCAGCTGCTGCTGATGGTAATTTTATTCCAGAACTATTTCAGTTCTTTCCTACTGTTACTGTTGTAATTCTCATGTCAAAAATCCGAAGCACATTTTAAAGAGAAGCAGTGAAGTGCTGCAGGAGCAGTGGCTCTCAACACCTGGATGCTCCCAGCTTTGGGGTGTGATGGTGCAGAGGCTCCCAAAGGTGCTGCAGGAGGGATTGCACCCCGGGTATCCACTGCTCTTCCAGGGGGGAAAAAGGTGCAGAGACAGGTTTTTATTAAATGGAGAAGGTAGGTTTGCTGCCTTTCCTCCTCTCCCTCCAGTCCACATCCCTCAGTGAGCTGCCAGAAGGTTTGTCTGGCACCAAATTTGAATTCCTTTGCTTCTGAGCTACAGTAATTCTCCAATCCTAGTGGAAACCTTATTTCAGGCTTTAGGATCATTCTTGTTCTTTGGTGTCATAAAAATAGCTCAGGGAGTCCTTTCTCCACAATGGGAGGTACCAGCTGGTCGTGTCAGGACTAACTCCCATCAATGCAGAACCCAAGCCAAAACCAAAATTTAACTCCTTGGGAACTCTAAAAAAACATAAAATCTTTTGCATTTTCCTTTTATACACCAGCACTTACATGATGTGAAAGGGAGAGCTGCTTGACATTCCTATGTGGAATATGGGTGCACATTCCAGGACAGGTCCCAAACCATAAATGTGCAGTTTTTGGCAATGCTACATTTACATGATATTGTATTTAAATACTTTTCCACCCTGCAGTGCAAACATTCTCACTGCCACAAACACGTAGAGCTATGTGAAAATATTTAAACAGAGGGTGACAACAAGTATTTGTGAGATGGGAATTAAGAGGGATAGAGGAATGCCATCCTTTTCCCAGCACACACTGCACTTTGTACCCTGTATTTATCACCAGCAATAACCTCTGTCTGTAGGAGCAGAGCCCGAGCTCCTGGTGACCGTGGCAGCTGTTCCTACCTCCATCCCATAACCAGCTACGATATTCATCTCTCCAAGGAGGAAAGGCTGTCTGAGGATAACTAATGGGATAAGAGGCACCTTCTGATTCCACAGCACAGCGACAGGGAAGGGATCCCTCTGGATACAAAAAGCTGCAGCAAAACCCATCAGGAGATCTCTGACTCTGGAGCTTCCCAGCGGAAAACAGGGAAAAGAGGAGCACAAAAGGAGCAGGTGGGGAAAGCAATCTGCCCACAGGATCTGATTTCATCCCCTACAGCTGCACCTTTTCCTCTTGCAGCTTCCAGCTCAGCAGCCTGGCACTGTAAAGCAGGCAGTGCTCTAAAAACCACACGGAAAAGCTGCTTGGCCAGGCTGGTTGTGCTCAGGTAAAATAACCATGACAAGGACGGCAGCTATTGGATGTAAAAAGCCTAAATGACTCACAACTGAGGCTAGAAAAATTACTGCCATAAACTGAAGAAATGTGAAAAGAAACCTTGGGGTTCCTGCAGGTGAGATTTTGGCCCCACACATCCCACCCTGCACTGTGAGCTGTGGTGGGAGTGAGGGCTGTGCCTCAAATCACAGACTGGTTTGGGTTGGGAGGGACTTAAACCTCATCCAGTGCCACCCACCTGCCATGGGCAGGGACACCTCCCACTAGCCCAGGTTGCTCCAAGCCCCGTCCAACCTGGCCTTGGACACTCCCAGGGATGGGGCAGCCACAGCTTCTCTGGACAAACTGTGCCAGGGCCTCCCCCCCCTCCCAGGGAAGGATTTCTTCCTAATCTAATCCTGTCCTTTGTCAGTTTAAAGCCATTACTCCTTGTTTTATCACTACACACCCTCGAAAAAGTCCCTCTCCAGCACTTCCAGCCAAGGAGGGTTTGCAAAAATGTCCTATTGCTGGAGTACTTAAAAATACTTCTTCTTCAACACTTAAATTGTTAGTATGAAGGAAACTTAACTATTCCTTTTTGACTTTCCCCACTCCCCATCCACAGGAATTGTGTCAACATGATGGGAACAGTGATGGGCAGGAGGCTGCAGCAATGAGCCCTGGTTTTACAGGCAAGGAATTTTGGTCAAATACCATTATGTGACAATGGATCTTCTTCTAGAAGAAGTTGCTAATAATGCATTTCTATTTCTGGAACAAATGTCCTATCTGTTATCCTTTAAACCTGACACATTTTAATTAATTTTAATTGTAAATTAACATGTAAATTTATTTTTCTTATCCTCACAAAAATGACTACGATACAAATCAATTGTCTGTATAAATTTAGAAATCTTCTTTTGCTTTCTTCTTGTTTTTTTGTATTATTCCACAGACTACTAAAAATAGCCCGAATTCTGCTGGGAAATACAGCCTGAGCTCACAGTTACCGAAACAACAAAGTGCTTTTGTTCACTTTCAGGCTGCACAAAATGAGCACAACTGGTATATCCAGACTCTAAAATCCATTTTGTTTCCTGTCTTTTGCCAACTCTCACCACGTATTTTCTTTTATAATTATTGCCTGACACTGAGAGTTGTTCCCAGCAGCGGGAAGAGCAACCTTGGCCACAGCATCCTTAAATCCCACAGCTGGCCATGACTTTGAACCCCAGTGAGAGCAGAGCTCTCCAGCCTCGCCGTGAAGGGGAAAAACCTCTCCCTTTACCCCGATATAAATATTTCAGGCCACTTCTAATTTCTGGGCGACAGCCAGTCAAAAAAAAAAGCAGGACAACACCTCCAAGCCCAGCCAGGGATTCTCTGTCCCAGTCCTACCGTCGTTCCTGAGGATGAGGGGGGTGGGGGGGCCCAGGACCTTGCTGTTGGTCACGGTGTTGGTCACCACACAGGTGTAGTTGCCCACGTCCGAGGCCTCCACCTTGGCGATGTAGAGGTTGCCCGTCTCCTGCGACACGAAGCGCCGGCTGTCCTGGTGCACGAACGTCGGGTACTCGTTGAAGATCCAAGCGTAGGTGAGCTCTGGAAGCACAAGGTTGGTTGGGAAAATTGGAGATATCACACCCCATGAAACGATCTTCACGGCTACAAATACGGATTTCCAGCTGTGACACCCCTGAGCCTGCACACAGATCTCATGTTCTTGTCACTCCTCCAAGTTCTCCCACAATAGGATGCACTTTACAAGAATGTCACCTTTCTGTCGTGAACATTTCAACCTGACTCGTGACAGAATATGATGTATTTTACAAGAATCTCACCTTTTTGTCATGAACATTTCAATCTGACTCATGACTTTTCATTCCTCCTCGTTGATTTTTTCTCCCTTCGAAGACAGCTGGGGGGAGGATCTGCCGAGCCCTGTCATCACCCACTGTACGTTTTATTCCTTGGGAATTCCCGAATCAGCAAAAAACCGAACACTAAATTAAGCAGCTGTACTCTTCTATGTGACTTAATTAGACAGTGCTCTGTGTTTTATAAGGCATCTTTGGAAGTTTATTTGGGCAATAAAACAAGAAGTGCGAGAGATGTCGCGGCGGCTGCAGAGTTTGTGGGTGAGGTTAATGCAACATAACCCTGTTACATCTGCCTAAGTCACACTGACAAAGCTTGGGGAACTAAAGTGGCTACAAGATCGCTGCAGTTTTCTAAGGGCACACTAATTATACTAAAAATCATACTTTTATTTTAATACTCTAATGAGTCGTAACTGTAATTGACCCCAACTCCCATTAAGTACTTCGGGAAATATATTCTGCCCTCGTGTTCCACTGTTTACAGGGAGAAGTGGCTGAATGCAGATTGTTGGCTTTTATTTATTTATTTCTAACGACAGGATTCTGAAATGCCTGCTCAGACTTTTTGGAAGATATGATAATTATGTTTATGAGGGAATATCTAATCATCATATTTACACATGTGCATCTCATTATAAGGAGCCTCATGCTGATGTCAAGAGGATACTCAGAGCAAATAAGGTACCACTTCTCAGCCAGCTTATTATTTGCTGCAAGCAGTTAAGTTTGGTTGGGGTTTTTTTGTTTTTCTTTTTTTTTAAATTTACTCTTGATGAACAATTATCTTGCTCCTCCAGAAGCAGCCAGCAACAGGCAAACAAACATCACTGCCCTGGGATGCACAGAGGTGTTGGAATTTGAGTGACTCTGCACACAGCAGGTTTGCACCAAAGCCCCCCTGAGCTCTTCAATATGACAACATTTTGCATTGAGTGTGGAATGGTGAACTGACCACAGGAAAACACAGGATGGGAGGGTCTTTCTTGATCAACCCGTCTCCCATCCTCCCCAGGAGGTCACATAGTCCCATTCATAATTACACCCTAAACCAGCAAGAGTTTTGGCTTCTGCTTCCCTGTATGAATTGATATTACTTTAATTGCTAAGAACCCTCTAATTTCCAGGTTAAATATTTCATTGCTATTCTATAGGTCTGCTCTTCTGGGCTAATGATCCCCTTGGCTTGAAGAGTTCTTGCCTCTTTGCTGGTGAGAGCCATCGAGAGCCCTTCTGCCGTCATTTCCAAGACAGCCTTTGCAACCCTGTAATGGTTGGAGGAGCTTTTCCTTGCCTCTGCCTTAGTTAAAAGTCTTGAATAATTGTGTCACTTGAGCTGAGTGCCAGCTTGGAAACCCCTGGTAAGCAGGTCACAGGCAAAGCAGAAGGCAAATGGAAAGCTGTGCAATGGTGATGATCTGGGATCCCTCCAAACAGAGCAACCCAACACAGGGGGAACTAAAACAGACCTATTTCTAGGGTGCAAAACATCAAAATCTCCCCAAAAGCCATCTTCAAACTATTAATTTGGCTGCATAACACTGAGGAACATAGTTAAAACCTGAAGTTGCAGCTCTGCCTTCCTTTGATCACAACAAATCACAAAAATATAACTGCCCAAAATACACAGAGTTAGACTTTAGGAGCAGTCTTCTGCTATATAATACTTAAAACAACTGGGTAATTCTCTCTCTCTCTCTCAAATAACATGGGACTAATGGAATATAGAGCACAGGGAATAGCACAGACTAGAGCACCTCTAAGTGCATCTGCTTGTGCAGCAACATGTAAATAAATACTGTATCAAACTGCCTTTGATTTCCTTAGAGATCCCAGTGCAATATTTATGGCTTTTCAAACTTGACGGATTTCTTTTGATAAGGTTTCACTTCCTAATTGCTCTGGAAGTGATAGACAGCTCACATCCCACAGGCAATTTGTAACAACTGTGTAAACAGACACTTAAAATACAGCCCGAGGTGGCGCGTGATGGAAACGTTTCCCAAAGTTACCACCACGGAGTCTTTGAGCACAAAGAACCAGCAGCAACGGGCACTTTGTGGTTTTCTAATTACACATTAGACTCTAATTCCTTCAGGAATTTATCACAAACTTCTCCTTTCTAATTTGGGGCCCTTGTCGTGTAATTTTTGCCTCTTTTACCATGCTTTCCATTTCCCCTTTGAAGCATATTCAAGTAGGTCTCTCAAACCCGGAATATAACAGGAAGATTTCGGACCTGTATTTGCTGGTTTTAAAGAAAAAGGGGAAATTCCAGAAGCTGCAATCCCAGGCCAGTGCAGAGCAGCACCTTGACCACCCACTGCCCAAAGACCCAGGCTGTGCTGGGATACCTCACTTTTCCTCATTGCCTGGAATTCCATGAGAGATCAGGATGAGATGAAGATTTTTGGATGGCAAATCTTCACTTCTGTAATGATTATCAGGACAAGAGGATGGAGAAGTTACTTCTACACCTGGTACAGATGCCCTAATAACACCAGATGGAAGACACTCAACCCCAAAACCTTCCTTGCTCCACAGACCACACAAAGAGCCTTTTTCATCCACACAAATCCTTGCTGATGGGCTACACAGCCTTGGCTCCTTGGAATACACACTCTACCACAGCAGGCAGATGCTGGAAGAAGGAAAAGTGGATTTCTTTTTGCCCAAGGAATGCAGGTTTCTGTACACAAGGTCACAGAGTGATGAATATTTGCTCTACTAAAGCACCAGAGATGGGGAAGACTGTCCTAAATTAGTTAATATTACTCACGTCTTCCAAAGGAGCCTATGGAAAATTTGGGAAAAAGAGCAGTGGAGGTGACAGGCGTGGTAGAAGCAGCTTGATTTGACTTTGAGCCAGCAATTAAAAAAGAAATAAATTACTCAAGGCACTGGAACACAGATTTCGGATGTTTAAGATCTGCCTCTCAAGTTTATTATCAGAATGCAGACAAACTCTTTTTCTCCCTCCAAAAAAGAAAAGTTCTGAGCCAATTTCCAGGCCACCAGCAGAGAAACCTGGAAAATGAGAGATGCAGAGATTTCTGGCAAAACCCACAGCCCCCTTGGGTCTGTTTTTCCTGATCACCTTCAGATCTCATCACTTTTGTAAAGCACTCAGTGATAAACTCAATTAAAGTCTCCCTGTGCTGCCCCCAGAATATTCTGCTCAGGAAAAGAAACAAAACTAAAGACACTTCAGCTTTCAAACTTCTTCTAAATTACACCAAGCAGCGAAAAAAGTTACTGAAGCTGCACAGAAATTCTGCTACGAGTAATTATTATAATTAGACCTTAAGGTTTTGCCAAAACAATGTTCTCTGGTCGCCTGCCTTGGGAAATTCATGTATTTTGTCTTTGCCTTTAAGTACAAGAAACTCTTCTGGATTTTTTTTTTTTTTAAGTCTCTTCCATAAAGTCAGGGCTGCCACTTAAAAAGGTCTCTGGGGCTATTATGGGAAAAGCTATTAAAACATCAAGATTATGGTGACCATAAAGCTGAGGAGAAGAATGAAATTTTGGAATTAGTATTAGCCAAAAAATGGGGATCATTTATCATTTTTAATAAGACCAGTGTGGGTACAACACACTATTATTTTTTTATAGGCTTTACTGACAGTTACAGAGATGAATCCAATCTTTAATGATTCCTATAATTCCTATGTTATCACCCACTATGTCACTCTCAAGTTGGACAGGTAGGAACTGCTTTCCTGTGTGAAACACAAGGTTTGCAGCATTTCCTGTCAACTGTGATGCACAAAAATTAGATTTCACTATGCATGGCAAGAAAACAAAACAAAATTAAGGAAATCACGAAATCCTCCCTTCAAACTGTCCCAAGCAACCCAAATTATGGCTGCAAGAGTACATAATTTTGAGACATTTTGAAAGGAAAGGTGAGGCTCATCCCAGTGTGTAACAAACAACAACAGACGAAGTTTTTCCTGGGGAGAAAGTTATTCCCTCAACTACTGCAGTGCAACTGGTGGTGGTGAGGAACTGGATTTAGCACTGTGATTTTATATGAATTAGCCAAGTTTCTTGGCTCTGTGTGTGTTCCTGTCTGTCTGGAAAGTGCCAAACATATTTATATATTTACATAATAAACATATTTTATTGTATCCAAATACTATAATGTTTTATATCTCCAAATACTATTTTTTCCAATTAAATTGATTTTGTTTTATATATCCAAATACCAGAATGACATTTTGCTGTACAAGCCCTCAACCACACCCACTGTTGTTGTAGAAACTTCTACAACATGGGAGGTGGAAAGGAGGCTCCAAGCACCACAACAACCTATTTCGGGAAGGGGAAAAGAGGATTATCAGGGAAAGCTCCTCTCCACATCCCACCATTCCCTTCTGCCAACTGCACTCTGGGTCCTGGAGTTTTGGGCCATTTTTCTCTCTCACAGTTTTATTTTAATAGCAAACTACATGAATTATACACTGTACGTATTTTTTTGTGGGCCTCCAGACCGTTTCATTACCCTGCTAGAACACTGGATCAATTTTTTATCTTCTAGTCTTAAATAATCCCAGAATAATTTAAAGGAATCAACCTGGACAAAAAGCGTCGCCCATTAATTCTCCCCTTGGCTCTGTGCTCTGCCCTCTCCATCACACAGGGCTGCCCAGCTACACCACACCACGGCTCTGGGGCTCAAATGCAGGCTTTAATAAAAGGAATGATAAATAATGAACGAGA